AACTTTGGAATATTACTAATTTTGTGATGCTCTTTCAAGCTGTGATGAAATTTTTGTCTAGATCAAAATTTAGTCTATAATGCAAATGGTCCATTCTGGGGGCCAAAATATGGAATAATGTACAAATTATTATGATTTTATTCCCTTGAAGCTGCTGCTGTAAATTCTGGGTATTGAATAATGTACAAATAATTAATAATAATAATCCAGAATATTGAATAATGTACAAATAATTATGATTTTATTGCCTTGAAGCTGCTGCTGTACTTGGCGTATTGGCGACAGTCTTGCCTCACATTGAAAAAAGATTTAATCTGTCCAGTTTTGATTCTGGTATGATCGCGGCTTCAAATGATGTCCCTGCAGTTATTTTTGGCCTCTTTGTCGCCCACTGGGGTCACTTTGGTAACAAAGTACGCTGGATTGGCGTTGGAGGAATTATTACAGGTACGAGTTACTTTCTGTACGAAAGAAATGACTTTGAAAGGGGAGTTACTTTGTTATTACAGGTACGAGTATACTTAATTATTACAGATACGAGTTACAAATAGCTTTGAAAAGGGTGCGATCTTGAAATTCAGCACAGGTCTCAGCTGTTGGGATCCACGGTAACCCGTAGCCTCATCTGCAGGCATCTCTTCGTCTAGGGTTAGAGTGATCAGGAGAAAAACCCCGAAACCCTAACCTTTTAGAGAGGCCTGCGGAAGAAGCTGTGCAAATGACTTGAAGTAATTGAAATTTTGCTTTGCTCAAAGACATTTAAAAGTAATAAAAATATTTATTATTTAACAAGTATAACTACATAGGTATTAATTATAAGGTTGTTTTATGCTACTTTTTGGCATTTTCAAAAACAGTAGTTCAACGTTCAAACATCAATAGCACAGTCAATATTGCACGTATAAATTCAAGTGCTATATATCAAAATCTAAGTTAGTCCTTTCTGAACGCAATGATCTCTATTTCATTGCTATAGCCTTTATAGCTTCCACGTTATATGAAATCAAGCAGTGGCCAGTTTTTTTGAGATACCCGGTATAGGTATAGTGAAACCCACCATTTGCATCATAGACTAAATTTTGATCTAGACAAAAATTTCATCACAGCTTGAAAGAGCATCACAAAATTAATAATATTCCAAAGTTTCGTTGCGAAATGTTGTAAAATGCGGATAATATAGCCTTGCGAAATTTGCAATTTTCAGTAATTTTGTATTACAAACGGGAAATTGATGCCCCAACATCCGATTGGGCTGTCAATTTCCTGTGCGTAATACAAAATGACTGAAAAACGGCAAACTTCGCAAGGCTATATTATCCGCATTTTACAACATTTCGCAACGAAACTTTGGAATATTACTAATTTTGTGATGCTCTTTCAAGCTGTGATGAAATTTTTGTCTAGATCAAAATTTAGTCTATAATGCAGATGGTCCATTGACTTTGAACCACATCTGTTTCAGGTATTGGATTGTTCATAGGGACAATACCTCATTACATTATTGACAAGTATGAACCACCACTGCCTCAAAACATACTGTGTGGTCTACCCCCTGGTTTTGCACCACCTGCACCACCTATGAACGCTACAGGTAATGGTACAGGTGGTGGTGGCGCGTTTCCATCAGGATGTGACGACCAAGGTGAAATTGCTGAAAGGTATGTGCTATTAGTGCATCTAATTGACTAAATTATTGGGGGATGAGGGGAATTTTGGAGCTAGTGCATCGAAGAAAGATAGCTAAGTGTCCTTACTGGCGAGCTGTCTGTATTATAAAAGTTACAATGATGACATCACCTTTAAATGACATCACCTTTAAAACAACACTGAAAATGTGACGTGTTTAGTAACAACAGGCTTTCGTTGGTAGGATGTAACTACCTGAAAATATAAGGGCAATTTCGATGTTTCGAGAGAATGCCCAACTCCAGTACGTATTAGAGAGGTGTTTGTATTAGAGAGGTTTTTGTATTAGAGAGGTGTTCGTATTAGAGAGGTGTCTGTTTTAGAGAGGTGTACGTATTAGAGAGATGTCTGAATTAGATAGGTGTTTGTATTAAAGAGATGTCTGTATTAGATAGGTGTCTGTATTAGAGAGATGTCTGTATTAGAGATGTTTACGTATTAGAGAGGTGTACGTATTAGAAAGGTGTACATATTAAAGAGATGTCTGTATTAGAGAGGTGTATGTATTGGAGAGGTGTACGTATTAGAAAGGTGTACATATTAGAGAGATGTCTGTATTAGAGAGGTGTATGTATTAGAGAGATGTACGTATTAGAGAGGTGTACGTATTAGAGAGGTGTCCGTATTAGAGAAGTGTATGTGTTAGAGAGGTGTATGTATTAGAGAGGTGTATGTATTAGAGAGGTGTACGTATTAGAGAGGTGTACGTATTAGAGAGGTGTACATATTAGAGAGGTGTATGTATTAGAGAGGTGTCCGTATTAGAGAGGTGTACGTATTAGAGAGGTGTACGTATTAGAGAGGTGTATGTATTAGAGAGGTGTATGTATTAGAGAGGTGTACGTATTAGAGAGGTGTACGTATTAGAGAGGTGTATGTATTAGAGAGGTGTATGTATTAGAGAGGTGTATGTATTAGAGAGGTGTACGTATTAGAGAGGTGTACGTATTAGAGAGGTGTACGTATTAGAGAGGTGTACGTATTAGAGAGGTGTATGTATTAGAGAGGTGTATGTATTAGAGAGGTGTACGTATTAGAGAGGTGTATGTATTAGAGAGGTGTATGTATTAGAGAGGTGTATGTATTAGAGAGGTGTATGTATTAGAGAGGTGTACGTATTAGAGAGGTGTATGTATTAGAGAGGTGTATGTATTAGAGAGGTGTATGTATTAGAGAGGTGTACGTGTTAGAGAGGTGTCTGTATTAGAAAGGTGTACGTATTAGAGAGGTGTACGTATTAGAGAGGTGTATGTGTTAGAGAGATGTACATATTAGAGAGTGTATATATTAGAGAGGTACACGTATTAGTGCCGTGTACGAATCGATAAAGAGAGCCTCGACTAAATAAATATGCTCGTCTAAGACCGGATCATGAGGGATAAATTGTTAGTATTTTTCTGATGTAAAACATTACAGGTATCATCTTGCAATCATTCTGATCGGACAGTTTATCGCTGGTATTGGTACAATCCCACTGTTCGCGTTCCCACCCGCAATATTCAGAGAAACTGTAAAAGAAAAATATGTGCCGATGTGCCTGGCGTTCTGGCAAGTCTCCGTATTCTTGGGACCCTTGATTGCTTTCGCGTACTCTGAACCGCTCTTGGAAACCTGGGTGGATATTACAAAGGTAATGGCGTGATTGGGGCCGCGGTTGTTTAAAGTTGGACTACCGTTAACCATGGAATAAAATTTAACCCGTTGTTTTGGTTGCCGTATTTTTGCATATCTGTTTGTTTAAAAACGTCAGGGGTCGGTTGTTCAAATGTGGATTAGCGCTAACCCTGGGTTAAAGTTTAACCAGCTATTTTGGTTGCCGTATTTCTGCACGTCTGTTTAATTCAAAATTTCAAAGAAGAAAACTCCTGTCGGTCCAGACAAGATCTCTGAAGAAATATTTCCAAATTTATGGACAAGCCTGTCAGGAATTAAGTTTGCTTTGAATTTTGGGTTAACCTAGGTTTAAGCTAACCGAGCTTTGAACAACCCGCCCCAGAAAAGAAAACTGTCATTGACAAAACATTTCTGAAGAAATATTTCCATGTTTATAAACAAGTTGTTGGGAAAGTTTGCTTTGAATTTTAGGTTAACATATATGGTTAAGCCAACCGATTTTCGACGTAAACATTTTCCAACTTATTATATACATGACAAAATTACGGCAATCTGATTGGTTAAGAGGAGCGCAATTTTTTCATTGATTGACCTAAAACTCTCTTGCTGAACTTTTAATATTTAACTTGAACAATTGTTTGTTGACGAATCAAGAACATGCAATTCGTTTTACATCGCTGCTTTGCTTGGCCATTTTGAATAAATTTTTGAACTTCACCTAAACCATTTATTGTTAAGGAAGGCGTGTGCAGCAGTGTTTTATCAGATATAAAGATACGAGGCGAAGCCAAGTATCTTTAAGTCTGATAAAACACGTACTGCGAATGTTTTAAATTGCTTCAAAAACGATCGATCTAGTAAGTTCATTGACATTGGCGAAGTAATTTTCAAAAAATACGTTGTGTAA